TAGAGATACTGTCGTCGCTACTGAATAACCGCTCTGCTTTTACGCCGGAAGTACCACAACGCCACCCGACGCCGTTCCGTGACGACGCCACCAAAGTGGGGAGAAGTACTTAACGAGGAGAAGAGAAAAATTTGGTGGTACAAGATCGCCGAAAAAATTAAATTAAGTTAATACTGGTATGAAATTCACTTTTCAACAAAGAAATAAAATCGTTTTTCAAATCACAATCACAATAGGCGCGGTTCTCTTCCGGCTATTCCGGAGGTCGGCGATCTAGTACCACCAGTCTTCTCTTCGTTGAGTACTTCTCCCCACTTTGGTGGCGTCGTCACGGAACGGCGTCGGGTGGCGTGGTGGTACTTTCGGCGTAAAAGCAGGGCGGTTATTCAGTAGCGGCGATAGTATCTCTGATAGGATCTGAAAATCGATTCGGATGCGGTATGTCAGTGGCGTGTAGCAAAAAGAAAAAATAGTAACTTCGTTACAACTCTTTACAACTCTTACAAAATTCACTATCCTAATCGTATCACAGTCAATCTTAAACTTAAAAACTACAACTAATACCAGCCCTTATATATCCGCAATCTATTCTTGCAAAATCCAGAATAAACGCTTCCCGAACAGCACCGCAAAATCTAGAATCAGCTGGATTTTCGCCATTGTATTATGAATTATAATTTTCAATTTATTAATATTCGACTTGTCTTTTTATAATTTAGGATTTTACTATTTAACTCCTTTTGTTCAATAAAATGTCTCTCACACTTCTACTTATAATGTAATTTGATCTTCTGTATCTTAGTTGTTGAGGTGTTATTATTAACCTTCATTCAGCATCACTTATTATTAATATGCTGTAGCTAGCATCATAAGTTTACCTTGTCAGAATTATATGTCATGCTTTTATCAATGTGTGGAGGAGTGAAAAGGAGAGAGAGGAAAAAAAAATGAAAACGTATCATTACTTTTTTTTTAAAAAATAAAATGCGGATCGTAAAAAATTGGATTTTGAATCATACACGTATGATATGACATTAAAATAAAACTTCTGTGATTTTCATGCCACTAAGCACTGAGCTGATTGCGTTATGTTAGTCATATCACTTGAATCATTGAAAACTATTGAAATAATATCGAATGGATAGTTTTTTTATACTTCTCACTAATCCTAACGAATGATTAATGATTCCTTACAAAAAAATTAGGTACCTAATGGTTTGAATATACTCATAACCTACTTTGTCCTTGTCCCTCAAACTATTGAGTGATGACTCTAGCTCAACACTTAATAGTATTAGAGGCTATCGGCCCCATTTATAACTCACACCGGTAACCCAGTTAACATCTCAGGTGAAACATGTGCCGTTCATCCATGCGCAATGGCGTGAATCAAATGACGGACACGATATCGGCGGAGGCTGTGAGGTTTCTGCCCACTAGTGTGACAACAACAGGTATATCGGCCCAAAACCATATTGTATTATTGGGGAAATCGCGAGTGCGGAAAATGAAGTGTTTGCGATCGCTCGTCGGAAACGGAGTGATCAGAAGTGTTAGTTTTTAATTTAAATGCTTGAAGTGATTGATGAAGTGTTGATGATTCGTACAGTGGGTGCTAATAAGAAATCAACAAAAAAAAATATACATATTTGTTATCAACAATGCATGAACAAGTCTTCAACAAATATGTAGGTAGATATTTCAAATAGTGAAACTAAATAGCTACGACGCATTCTTTATTGTTGTCAAGCATAAAATATAATTAAACATCATATTCTATTTACCTATAATGTACATTACAAAAAGAATATCCAATACTAAGAATAGATACGGAAAAAAAAAGATAAAATTACTATCATACTTTTCTGACTGATGTGAATGGATTAGTAGCTGATTCTTTGTAAAATAAGACAAATAATTTACTTGATGAGTTTAGGTATCTTTTGATTTCCCTAATAATATTAGTACACCTTTATAAGCTGACACATCTTGCAGTCATAGAAAATTAATATTAATTTTCTTTTCAATAATATATAGGTACAGGATCTTGAAATTTTAAGAATGTCACCAAATTTTTCTAAATTTAATTTTTTATTGCTACTTAGGTTTCTCAAAGCCTGATTATTTTATTTTTGCTATAAAACCACACAAAATAGTTAGCATTTTCTTGTTACAATTTTTGGTGTCTTCTAGATTCATCAATTTTTATTTGTTTCGCGCAATTTGTTTCTGCGGTTTACAAAGAAAATTATTACGGATTTCTACTCAGTATTTGCCTATTCCCGGCTCACCAACTATTGTGATTTCCTAAATTTCTCCAAATAAAACTAAAGTTCAATAATCTGTAACATTATCATTTAGTTTCTTGGCGTTTTTGGTTTTGGCATTTCTACAAACGTGCTAACTTTATCTGGATCCACATGCAATCCTTCCCTATTAACTACATAACCAAGAAATTTAAGTTCACTTTTATAAAATTGACATTTATCTTTATTTAACGTTAAACCTGAGTTTGTAAGGCGCTGGAATACTTCTTCTAATATTTAAATATGAATTTCGAACGTTCGCGTTACAATTATTATATCGTCCAAGTATTTAAAACAATAAGGTTCTAACTCTGGTCCTAAAAGTGTATCAACTAATGCTGGAAATGTGGCTGGCGACTTAGTTAACCCAAAGGGCATTCTATTAAAATGAAATAAACTCCTGCCAGGTATTGAGAAACTCGTAAATTTTTTACTATTTTCTGCCATTTTTACTTGTCAAAATGCACTCTGTATATCTAATGCCGTTAAATATCTTGCATTACCTAACTTATTAAGAATAGAATTGATATTTGTTTATATTTCAATATTAAAAGAAGTATTCCAGCGCCTTACAAACTCAGGTTTAACGTTGAATAAAGATACATAAATGTCAATTTTGTAAAAGTGAACTTAAATTTCTTGGTTATGTAGTTAATAGGGAAGGATTGCATGTGTATCCAGATAAAGTTAGTGCGGTTGTAGAAATGCCAAGACCAAAAACGCCAAAAGAAATTCGTAGGATTGTAGGTATGATCTCGTGGTATCGTAGGTTTATTCCAAACCGTAACATTCTATCATGAGAGACTCGAAGCTCTTTTATTCTCATCATGCAATCATGTCCATTTGTTAATTGATAGAACGCCCAAATTCCGTACTGTGAATTATTGTAGCCAAATTATTTGAAAAATAAGCAGCGAAAAAATTGAGAAATTATGAAATCGCCCTTTCGGGAAGCTAGCAACACATTGAAAGCAGGATCTTTAGGATAGACCTCTGCTTGTGCTGCTATATTACCTACTGCTTTGTCCTGCTTCAAACCTGGGTTGCGGTAGCACCCACCGTTTTCGAAATAAATGAATTTTCATTTTGGTTGCTAACTTCACCCTTGGCAACACATTCGAAGCAAGATCGTTCAAACATGTTTCTGCTATGTAATTTAAAATAGGATGACGCAGGACCATAGCAGCTCAAGCAGGAACATGTTTGAGCGATCCTGTGCTGGGACTCTATAACGGATAGATATCGTTATTCACATCGTTGATATCCTCTTCTCTCTTTCCAAAATCAACAGAGAGTGGACGCCAATAGAGATAGAGAAAAGATCTCGATTCGTTACAGAGTCCCAGCCCTTTTTCAGTATGTTGTCAAGGGTGAAGTTAGCAACCGAAATGAAAATCGCTGTATCTCAAAAATACACATGTGGCCGGGGTCAGATTTGAAACAAGATGATGTTTGCTACAGATCCTGCTTCCAATGTGAAATTGAATCTCTGAAACTGTGCTTGTAGCTTTTCATTATTAGAATACGATTCTCTAGAAATTTCAGACTCTTACCAGTCTTACCTATGATCAATTATTGAGGATATGATTTTTCTTAATGTTTATAAATTCATCCTCACAAAAATTTTCCATGTTGAGATTTTGATTTCAAATCATCATTTAGGACCACCCCCAACTTCCTGTCATGAATCATTGTGAGATTTAAATCCGAAATGTCTGAAGAAAGAGCAGCGGAAAAAATTGATAGATGATGAAAGGTCCTCCTATTTCTCAAGTGGGATTGTATCTCTGGAACTATGGATCCAAATGAGTTAGAATTTTAGGGTTTTCATTACTTCACTGGAATAAGATTCTCTGAAAATTTCATATCTTCATCTATCATACAATTTATAACCTACCTACTTTAATTCCAAACCAAACCGATATACAATCAGATGAAAATCAAATTCCGTTTTAAATTACGTATTTATTATACCTATTATAAAATAATATAAATGATGCCACAACATCCCTTTCATAACATTTCAATTTTTAATTAAAATTCCCGTTGCACAACAAAATCTGTTGTAAAATATTAAACAATACAAATATAGTACATGCATTATTTAACTTTATTGTTAAGCATAGTTTTTTTGAGAGTGTTTTATATAGCCGTATGTAGATGTATTTGAATTATTATTTATTGCCGACAAATTGATTTTTCATTTGCACGGGAAAATAATTTGTTTTAAACGATTCTAATTACCTTTCTCGTCGCATAGATTCTCAAATAGGTTGATGCAAAAGTAGGTCATATCAGCTTTTCCCAGCAAAAATGTTAGCATGAGCTCCATTAAATTTATTAAATTATGTTTGGTAAGAAAAATATGTAAGCGAGGTCTTTTTATTAGGATACGTCAAGGGTGTATTCACTTATCCAAGAAATTTTGACGTTAAACGTGAGATCCTTGTTTTATAGTTTTCTGAAAGGCAAACGTTGGAGTTTTTCATTAAGATAAAGTCAATAAACTAATTCAAAGCAATAGTGAAAAAATAAATTCATATTCTTGTGTAAGATTAATCATATTCGATGCAATGTATTCCGGAGTTGTTGAAGTCCCGTTATATGAAAAAGACAACGTGGAAATAAGTGAGGAATTTCTGGAGAATATAAATTCCTGAATTAACAAGGCTAAAAGCCCAGCCGCAGAGAAAAATGTTCGTATGGAAGCAATGCGTCGCTCCTGCAGGAGGTAAGTACACCGAAATATTCAATTTCTTTATACGTTATTCGGTTTTATATCGTTTCATGTTTGCATTTTTTTTTTTTATAAAACCAAAATGATTGCACTTTAAGATATAATGCAAGATGGGAGTAAAACTGTAGAAGCATAGCGTTTCATGGTAGAGAATAAATCACACTACCTGAAACTTCCGTTCAGAATACAGATTTCGGTAGCTTGTGTTGATTTTACATCCTCAGTAATAAACCTTTCATATCTTACAACTTATATTTTCTTATTAACTGGAAAGGTATGTGTTTTTCGTCCATGTTTCTTCATTGAACAAGGGTCTATTCATCCTTTCGAATATACCAGGATAGTCATTTAAAATTTCCATTTCAAGGATTTGAGGCAAAATATCCATGTGCTGTCCCCAAGATTTTCCAAATCATAAGGAAGCCAGAAAGGCAACCCAATAGACGAATAGGTTGTTTCAAGTGATCAAAAAACTAATTTTTAACTAAGCAGAAAAGTCTTCATTATTAATTTTTTAACATTTAAAATTGTAACTCTTTCTTTACGTTGGAGAATGATTTTAAAAATATACTGAAAATGAATAGAGCCTAGGTGTGACATTGATTAAAACTAAACAAAAAAATGAAATTTTAATCCAATAGCTCTTTCACCGGCGGATTTTACCTGGAGCTGAGGGAATGTGATTAGACCTTCCTGTTGACGCATAAAATGGGGATAAAACGATTATGCTTTGGGGATATTTGGTTATCGATTTTTAAAACTTCAACATGGATAGAAAGTAGCTAAAATTTTATTAGTATTATGTTTGACACGAACTTTTATACATAAGAATGTTGTGTAATAGTTTAAATTTGGAAAAGTTCAAAAAAGGACAAAATTCAGTAGACGTGGTAGCTTATATCTAACTAGGTATATATATTTCAATAAATCACCTAGTCCATTTTTAGCTTGTTGATTATTTCTAACACAATTCTTCGATTTGGGAATTTAAAAATGGCAATGGTAGGTATCGATAGTAGGAATCAAATCAAGAAAAAAATTGTATAAAGATCATCAGATAAATATATAGAAAATCCTTGAAAGTTGGCTTGACTATATTGTCAACTAGCTACTTAGGAAAGGAGGACCCGGTATTCAACCTTATTCATTTATCTGCCGATTCGATCGGATGTTTATTGCAATTCAGTAGTAATAAATTTACATAAATAGTGGGCCAAGCCGAGCAACAGGCAGACTTGAACCAGTGTTAGTACCGCCACCCTGGGAACACCCCTCTGGGAAACTGTATCGTCATCTAGTGCAAGTACCGCCACCCTGGGAAAGCCCTTCTAGATGAGGACCAGTTAAACGACGATGAACATTCTACGTAACATTAGCATCAAATAGACATTCTTTCCTAAGTAGCGTCAAACGTTTGGCCCTTCCCACAGAAGAGCATGTATCAAGGATTCATGACGTAATGACTTCTTGGCAAATATACATATTTTTATATAAAAATAGAGTGAGTTTCTCTCCATATATCCACCCTACACCCCCCGTCACAGAGAAGCTGTAACAATATCCCGAATAAACAAAAAAAAAAAAATTAAAAATAAAATGACTTTCCCACATAACAATAAATCTCTTTGAAAGAAATTAAATCCTAAACGACATTTTGCGATCCAAGACAAAAAAATCTCACGTGGAAACGGAATATTTCAGGACGATAATAGTCAATGCCTCTATCTTTTTCCATTGGATATTGATTTTGCAACAAAGTCTCGGCGAAAGTTGATAAACGTACTAGATAACAATTCTCAACGTTACAATCTGTTCTAATTCAAATCTTCCAATATTTAATAAAGTTTGTGAGACTTTCGCGACCCAGGTTTATTGATAATTTTTTTTCATTCGGGCTTAGTGGCCGTCGTAAGTTGGAATTTCTTCCTGACGTTTCGCTAGCACGCGTGGCTAGCATCTTCAGAGGTGCTTCCATGTCGGATTCTGGTAGCAGAGTGACGCGTTCCCGACCGTAAGTCATATTTATGTGTTAGTGGCTGTGGTGGGGAAGGGGCGGGGATTCGCGGCACGTGGCTAATCTCAACTATCTCTGTACTCAATGAGATATTTCTTGCGTTTTTGAGGATCGGGTTCCAGCTTTGATTGAGTTTTAGTGTTTCTTTTTTCCTGTTGAAGTTCTCCGTATGTTTGTGGATTTCTATAGCTTCACGTATAAGACGATTCTGGCATCCGTTAGGAAGAAATTCCAACTTACAATGGTCATTAAGCCCGAATGAGAACATCTTATCTACCTAGAGGACATAGAAAAAGTTATCTAGGCAAAATTCAAGATTATAATGGTCTTCAGATCTTATTTAAATGACTGAACAAACTTAGGTGATTTTTACTGAGTGATAATGTTCGGATACGCTCAATTTACTGCATATATAAAAAACTTAAAAACCATTGTTTTAGTTCAAGAGTCTCGATTATCGAATGAAAATTGCAATCAACTTCTATAAACGGAGATCGTTGGATGCGAGCGGCCAAATTAAAGCTGTTATTATCTAAGTCGACTCCAATGCTAGAGATCCTATTATCCAATTTAAGCGAAAACATTTTACAAAAGATTTCATCTCCCTAATCGTAATGGAAAATCAGTTTTGATTGTTTTAGTTTATGCTAATTTTTAATGCCTCTATTTTGTTCCCATGCTAGAGTCTGACTTTTTTAAAGCTTTTGTATATAAAAGTGGTAAATTACTAATTACCATCTCTAGTTTAGCAGCATAATGTTACATTTACCGTGTTTTCCCTCCACAAAATCTGCACTATAAACCTGATAGAGTGCACTTTCAGAGACCCATATGCGGTGATGCATGATAATTACTAAGTTTGCCGCTACTAAGTCTCAATACGGAGCCCTAATGGTAAATTTTCTATTCCAAGACAGGCACCGGCTTCGATGCGGAGAAAGCGCATCCGCTTTGGAGCTCGTTATTCAAAAGTGATGAATGCCAATCGGTGTTTCCAGACGCCCCGATATTGGGTTTTCCACCCCTCGTACGTTCGCCTAACCGGAAAAGGGTGAAAATGTAATAAGACTGCCTAATCTGGCAGAAAAGTCGATCGGTGGTGGCAATAGAAATTACTTAGTTCCTGCATAACGATGCTGATGTGGATAATAAAACCCTCAGTTTTTTCAGAGAAATGGGCAAAAATCGTGCGGTAGGAAAAAAAAACTATTCCGTCTATTCTTGACCTATCCGTATGCAGAACATAATGAACCAATTGATTGTCGAAGCTGCAACGAAGTATTACAGGAGAATGCTGGAGTCAGCTATCACAAAACCTCAAAACATCAAGGCAGAGCAGGCATCCATAGACTTTTCCAGAAATGGCGCGTTTTTGACCACGGGAGAAGAACCAGTTTACCATTTTTGGGAGTTTTTGACCCCACTAAAACCGATTATCATATAGTACAATTTTTTGAAATATTACTAATAAAAACTTACAGATAGAACTAGAGGCGCTTCGGGGAGTCGATATCCTTGAAATCGGATCTGACACAGTCATGTATTCATCTATCCATAATGAGCATAAAAAGGCAAATATCTGTTATTAAAGAAGGTACCGCCATCTAGTACCTGATAATTTCTTTTTTTTTTTTAATATTTCTTTCTCTAACTTCTGATTCTGAAATAATTATTTTTGGCTTAATAACCTAATTAATTAGTGGTTTTGTGTTATCAACATAAACTTAATTCAAATTATTGTAATTTGTAAACAAATTATCCGGCTCGAAGGACCATGAACAGAGTTGGGACCTTTGTTGTAGTTCACTAGAGGGTTGTAAGGCCTCCAAGGTCCGTATCTCTGGGCGTGAGGTTCAGGAATAATTCCCTGAAGATCACTAGTTACCTTTAACCAAGATAACGAGTACAAAGCTGTTGAGACGGACTTTGTGGATAATTATCACAAATGACTAATTTGCGTAATTAAGTGAGTTCCCAACTAATATTGTTCAATACTGGTTTTATTAATCAAATTGGTTCCTATTTATATTGTACATTTCAACTTGAACCTTATTATATTTATCATTACTAATAACAATGAACTGTGTGTTGACCTTGTTTAGGCAGGTATCTACAACATTGGCGCTACACTGTATCATTACGGAAATTAAGGTGACTGACGCCGTGAATGATGAATCGTGGTTTTTTAGTAAATTTAGGCAAGGTTTGTGATACTTTGATTACCTTGCCAAATTTATAACAAATTGTGGATCTTATAATATGTAGAAATTTCAGACTTAATTAAATTTTATGTTGAAATTTCGAAATGTGTAATTCAAATTTTATGTTGATTAAACAAAATAATTCTAGTGTGTTTTTATCGATTCACTTTTAATCAAGGTGTTGTTTCATTGATGAACTGAGCACGGTCTTTTGTGTGTGTTGGGTGTTATCTTCTGATTGGTTGATGGTTACTACGCAGTTAAGTATAAAAAAACACAAGATTGGTTTCCTGCAGGGTTAAGGTTCTGAAACGGTTTCTTTTCTGGCGGAACCACTAGACAGGCAAGTCGATTTCATTTTTTGTAATTTTTTTTCTTCAGATTTCTAGATTTTCCCTTAATATTTTTCAATTTATTTTATCATCAGTGTATACTTTCATATCATTGTTAGGTTTTTACCTGATAAATCTTATCCCTTCTACCATTGAAATATAAATATTATACCTATCTTAATTTTTCTATCTAATTGTGTGCCTCCATTTTGTGATTGGTGGTCACACGTTTTTTTTTGAGGTGAGTCAATTCAGAGTTTTGGCTAATAAATAGGTACTGCTGCTCTGGTTTTCAGAATCAATTGTTAGTGTGGGATTATTGGACCGTTTGCTCTAAATAGAGTTTTTTTTTGTCCATCCCTATCAACATTTTACCGAATCCAGGCAGAGGCCCGTATAGTCATTTGTTGTTTGACTCTCTCAATTTGTTCTCGAGAAGGAGAGTGC